ATATACATATATATATACATATACATATATATACATATATATATATATATATATACACCTGGATACAAGTCCTTTATCAGATATGTGATTTGCAAATATATTCTCCTAGTCTGTGGCTTGTCTTTTCATTCTTTTAACAGTATCTTTCAAAGGTCAGAAGTTCTTAATTTTGATAAGTCCAATTTATCAATTTTTTCTTTTGTGGACCACACTTTCGGTATCATCTAAGAAACCTTTCCCTACATAGGGTCATAAAGATTTTGTCCTATGTTTTCTTCTAGAAGTTTTATAATTTTAAGTTTTACATTTATGTCTATAATCATTTTGAGTTAATTATTACATACAGTGCAAGGTATGGGTCAAAGTTCATATTTTCACACATAGGTATCCAATTGTTCTAGCATTATTGGTTGAAAAGGCTTTTCTTTATCCATTGAATAGTCTTTGCACTTTGTCAAAAATTAATTGACTGTATATGTGTGGGTCTATTTCTGGACTCTATTTGCTCCATTGATATATTAGTCTATCTTTACACCAATACCACACTGTCTTGATTTCTGTAGCTTTACAATAAGTCTTGAAATTAGGTAGTGTAAGTCCTCCAACTTTGTTATTTTTCAAAGATGTTTTGGCTACTTGAGGTCTTTTGTATTTACATATGAATTTTAGATTCAGCTTGTCGATTTCTACAAAAATAAAAGCCTGCTGGGATTGCACTAAATCTATAAATCAGTTTGGAGAAAATTAAGATCTTAACAATATTGAGTCTTCTGATCCCCGAGCATGGTATGTATCTCCATTTCTTTAGGCCTTTTTTATTTCTCTCAGAAATGCTTTGTAGTTCTCAGTGTATAGACTTTGTCCATTTTTTATTAGATTTATCCCTAAGTATTTCATGTTCTTGATGGCTATTGCAAATGATCTTGATTTTTTACTTCATTGTCCAATTGTTCCTTTCTAACATATAAAAATATAGCTGGCATTTGTGTATGTATCTTGTATCCAGCAACCTTGCTAAACTCACTTATTAGTCTTAATAGCTTTTTTTGTAGATTATATAGAATTTTTTACATAGATGATCATGTCTTCTGCAAATAAAGACAATTTTACTTCTTCCTATCCCATCTGGATACCTCTTCTTCCTCTGGCTTTATAGTGCTGGTCAGAATCTCTAGTGTGATGTTAAATAGAAGTGGTAAGAGTAGACATTTTACCTTTTTCCTAATCTTAGAGGGAAAACATTCAGTCATTTCGCCATTAAGTTTGATGTTGCAGAAGCAGAAGTCTCAAATGTGCATTTTCAAGATTTTTGATAAGTATTGACTCCAGAAAAGTGCCAATTTATACCATCTTCAGCAATATATGAGAAGGTACCTTTTCCTACACACTTGCCAACATTAGGCATTATCTTAGAAAAATAAAAGTCTGCCATTCTTAATGTTATCTATTTTAAATTTGTGTTTCTTTGATTATTAGTGGAGGTCAGCATCATTTAATGTTTATTGGTCAATTGCATTTGTTTTATTAGTTGTCTATGTCATCTGCTCACTTTTCTAATGGAGTGTTCATTTCTTAATAATTTTATAGTAGCTTTTTAAAGATCTAATATCCTTAATTGAATATATCTATCATATATGTCTGTCACTATTTTTCCCAATTTGTCTTTTGCCTTTTAACTTTGTTTATGGATTTGTTTGTTTTATATATATACTATTTTTAATAGAATTTTTTGGAGCAGTCTTAGATTCACAGCAAAATTGAGAATAAAGTACGTAGAATTCCCATAAACCCCCTGTCCCTCCAACACACAGCCTCCCCACTATCAACATCCCACACTACCAACATCCAGCACCAGAGTGGTACATTTGTTACAATCAATGAATCTAGCTTACATTGACACATTATCATCACCCCAAATCTATATTTTACATTAGAGTTCACTCTTGGTGTTATACATTCTATGGGTTTGGACAAATGTGTAATGACATGTATCCACCATTACATTATCATACAGAATAGTTTCACTTCCCTACAAATCTTTTGTGTTCTTTCTGTTCATCCTTCCCTCCTCCCTAACCCCTGGCAACCACTGATCTTTTTACTGTCTCTGTAGTTTTGCCTTTTCCAGAATGTCATATAGTTGCAATCATACGGTATGTAGCCTTTTCAGATTGGCTTCTTTCACTTAGTAATATTGATTTAAATTTCCTTCATGTCTTTTCATGGCTTGATAGCTTATTTCTTTTTAGCACTAAATAATATTCCATTATCTGGATGTACCACAGTTTATTTATCCATTCACCTAGCAAAGGACATCTTGGTTGCTTCCAAGTTTTGGCGATTATGAATAAAGCTGCTATAAACATCCGTGTGCAGTTTTTGTGTGGACGTAAGTTTTCAACTCATTTGGGTAAATACCAAGGAGCACAATTTCTGGATCATATGGTAAGAGTACATTTATATAGGTTTGTTTTTTATGTATTTTTAAAAACACATTGAAGCTTTTACTTTTTTGTTGATAAATCTATTAACCTTTTCTTTCATAATTTCTGTCTTCGGTTTTTGTTAGAAAGGCTTTTCCCTTCCAAAATTTTATAAATCTTCACTGTACCTTCTTTTAGTAGTTTTATGGTTTCATTTTATTTTTACATTTCAATCTTTGTTTTATTTTGACATGAGGCAGATATCTAACTTCATTTTCCCTTGGCTGTCTATTCACTTCCCTAGTTACATATAGCTTCCTCTAAATATTTGATACACATGACAACTCCAAAGAAGTTCCTATTTTACAAACAAGGAAACTGAGGCAGAAAAGTAATTCATTGCATTTAAGGTCACATAGCCACTAATTTATATAGTCAGGATTCAAACCCAGGTCTTTTGATGCCAAGTCCTGTTCTCTCTTCACTACAGCCTTGGTACTCAAAGTATGGACAAGCAGCATTGGCAACACCTGGGAGCTTGTTAGAAATGCAGTCTTGGGTCCTACCCCATACCTACTGAATCAGAATGTGCATTTCTATCAAGTTTGAGAAGTACTGTTGTGCATCATAGTTCCCCAAATTTAGGGTACATCAGAATCACCTGGGGCATTTGTTGAGCTCAATCCCTCCTCAATATTTTAACTCAGTAGGTCTGGGGTGATGACCAGAAATCTGCATTTTAACAAGCATCCCAGGTTATTCTCATGCAGGTGGCCCTGTGGATCACACTTGAGAAATGTTCTAAAACAACTGAGAAATATTCTAAAACTGTAACCTAGGACACCATAAGTGATGGCTGATTATTTCTCTCAATCTCAATTTAGATGTTGTCCTTTTAACCTGAAAAAGAGATAGCTGGGAGGCAACAATAACTCTTTTACATGTCAATATGTGGAAATTAAGTTGTAATAATGAGGATGTTGACTAAATCTTGAATTTTACAGAAAATCATGTAAAGAAAACTAAGGGCAAAATGCCTTCAAACCATCCAGAAGTTAGCGGAGGCAGCGTCGAGAAGTAGGAGAAATATCTATCCAAGTAGATTGGAGTTATGTCCGTGACTCAAAGGTCTCTTCACCAATAAAATGAGGGTAATAATAACCTGCCAGCGGGAGGAAAGAACCTGTCTGTCAACTTGCTGAACTTCTGTCCCCAGTATTGACGTCCATAGGGCTGGGATAAGGAAACGTTCCGGGAGACGAAGCAGCCTCCGGAGGCTCGTTCGTGCCAGCTCAGATTTGCCCGGAAGCCGATGCCACCTGGCCAGCGGCGGGGCCTCGGCGACCAATGAGGGCCCCTCCGATGACAAGTCGGCGCCACCCGCCAGGAGAGACACCCTCTCCCCAGCCCAGTCCTACAGATGGACTCCGTCATCAATAATTTATTAAGAACCTCCTCTCCATTGGCTGACGCCTCCACCCGCGCCGGCAGCGACCCAATGAGGAAGGACTGGAGAGAGCCCTCCTGAATAGTGAACGAACGCTCGTGACGTGGCGACCGGAGATTGGCTGCGAAGGCTCGAGGCGGGGCCAGCTCGGGCGGCGGCGAGCGCGGCTGAGACAGCTCAGTGAGAGCCGGGGAGGGTCGAACCCGGAGCAGGGTCGGCGTGTGAAGCCGACGGGCGGACCGGCGGCGAGATGTTCAGCTGGATGGGGCGGCAGGCGGGCGGGCGCGAACGCGCAGGCGGCATGGACGCCGTGCAGACGGTGACGGGCGGCCTGCGCTCGCTCTACCTGCGCAAGGTGCTGCCGCTGGAGGAGGCGTACCGCTTCCACGAGTTCCACTCGCCCGCGCTGGAGGACGCCGACTTCGAAAACAAGCCCATGATCCTCCTAGTGGGCCAGTACAGCACGGGCAAGACCACCTTCATCAGGTAACCCGCCCCGCCCTCACCCCTGCTGGACCCCTGCCAACCACCTAGATGGCGGCGATCCTCCCCACGTGTGCGCGTGTTGTCACCCGCCTCCCGCCGCCCTCGGGCTCCCTGCAGCCCCTACTTCCCCTCGCGGACCCCTCGCCGCTGCCTCCGCCTCCAGCATCGGCGTGACCCAGGTTCCCTGTCCGAGCGCGGTGCCTGGGTGCCCGCAGCCCCGCCCCGGGGCGCGGCGGCCCGAGGAGGAGCTGGCTCTCCCCACGCGGGCACAAGGGTCCCGGGAACCCCTTCTACCGGCGTACTACGAGCCCTCCTTCCTTGCTCTTGGAAAGGCACTCCTCCAGCTGGCTTTATCCTGTCACCCTGGCCTGGGGGCCCAGGGAAGGCAGGGAGAGCAAGGCTATTCTAAGCGCCTTCTTGATGAGCGAGCGAGGCCTAGGGCTGGAAATGGGGACCGAAATGGGAGTATCACAACGGACTGTTGAATCATAGTTGAAGAGTTAACTCCCTAACACAGTGCCTGACGCATAACTATTTATTGAATGAATGAATGGCAACAGTAGAGGGTATTGCCCATGCTCCCTTCTGCTGAGGTCAGTGCATGCCCCACCACCACCAGCAACACCACCACCACAGTGTTCGGGGGAGGCGGTAGAGAGGCCTCCATCATTTAGCTCTTATACAGCCTCGCCTTTATCCAGCCCTAGGAAGTTAGCTGGGTGTAGCTGCTGAACCAGCCGGCGCCCAGTGGAACTAAGGGGGAGTGTCATATTACTATTCGTTAGTTTCCATTTCTTAGGTGGCTCATTCCCTCCTAACTCACCCTTGACAACTGAAAATATTTGTCATGCTCGCTGTGTCTCCAAAAGCAAACAATTACTGCACATGGCCTAAACTTCAAATCATATAGCTTCCTCCGAGGTGATTTTTGATGGGAAATAATTTACATTGAAACATTGCTTTTTGAAGAGACTATTTTACTGCTAAAGCATCTGGCATATGGAGGCTCTGGTTAGACTTGTTTTCCTGGTTTAAACCTTGTGTCAGTTGAAACAAAGTGACTGACTATTTAAGGTTTTGGTTTGGGGTTTTGGAAATTGTAACAATCTTGTCATCATTGATGTTCAACAGGTGTTCAGAAAACTGCATCTATATTTGGATACATGCCATTTCTATTCAGTAGTGGCCTCTTTTTCTCCACTCCAGTGACCTAAATAGTTCCTACAAATAGAGTGGTTGTCACTATAGGAAATATGTTCAAACCAGGCCTGCAGATACACTATGAATGAATTCAGCAAAGCAAATGCACTATATTGAAATATAGTTCTAGGCAGTAAGTTGAATGTGAAGGAAGACTGAAGAAAATAATTTTTAAATTGCTTTATTTGGTGCTTATTAATAAGCTGAAAATAGTATTAAGTATGTCACCCCAGACACTCAAAATGAATCATAGAAATATTCCAGTAACTGGCACCTCAAAAAATGACAGACAATACACTTAAGGTCTCAGTAATACTAACCAGTTTTTTTTGTGTGTGCGTGTGAGGAAGATCAGCCCTGAGCTAACCTCCACGCCAATCCTCCTCCTTTTTTTTTTTTTTTTTTTTGCTGAGGAAGACTGGCCCTGGGCTAACATGCATGCCCATCTTCCTCCACTTTATATAGGACACCGCCACAATATGGCCTGACAAGCGGTGAATCGGTGTGCGCCTGGGATCAGAACCCGGGCTGCCAGCAGTGGAGCGCATGCACTTAACTGCTACGCCACGGGACCGGCCCCAGTAACCAGTTTTAAGTATATGGGATAATGAAATATTACTACCAAGTGGTACAAGAGTGGGAAGTGGACCTTTTGAAATATACAGATAAAGAATAAGAAGGTAGCATTGTTATAATTATAATAATCTCAGACATTAGCGGTGGCATGTTCACAGCACCCTGGGCGCTTCCTCTTGTCTGTCTTGGCCACAAGGGCTTTGTTGTGCCTCGTGTGATTAGGGAGCCCTGTTGATGCTGAACCAACCTGGATGTGATATGGGCCTCTCTCTGTTCCCACAGACCAGATAATAAGCAAGCCTGAGGCAGGAGAGCACAACTTACAGGAACATGAATCGATCTTTTTTTTCAGTTTCCTATTTCATTATATTATTTCTCACTCTTCTTTCTGTTTCATCATTTAGGGGGAGCTTTGTGGAATAGCTAAGCATAGGTTTAAGAAGGATTTTGAGATTTGACTCCTGGCAGCTCCATCCAAATGGACCACTTCTCAGTAGGTACTGGAGCCATGTGCAACCCCAGGGTGAGGGAGGAGTCACCTCTCAGGGAGTCACTTGCTCTTGAGAGACCTTCCCTGACCTAAGTGACTCTGACGTAAGGTAGCGGGCAGAAAGTGCACTGTGAGGTTGGAAGAAAATCAGGATGGACAGGAAGCTTGGTGAGACACTGGAGACCTGAGTTTGGTTTCAGGGTGGAGCTAAGGGGAAGAGATGTAGCTCCTGGGAGGAAAGCCCCAAACAAAAGGCAGCTACCCCACAGAGCCCTGCACTGGGACTGGGGAGCAGAGGGCTTGGCCCAGGGTGCTGACCATCCTGGATCCTGCCTGTTTTCATGGCTCTCTTTGCTCTGAGGCTGGTCAGTACTTGAGTTGTTTACTTCTAGCCATTGAGCATTAAAAGTTCACACTTGGTTGTGAGATAGGGTGCACCTATCTACATAGTCATAGATTCTTACCCACCTGGCTTCCTGCACATTCCAAGAGGTCCCTGGTAACACAGAGACTGCATTGATATGGAGGGAAACTTCTCTTATTGTCAGACCACTCAGCAAGGCCTTCAGTGTGCATTCCACACCTTTAATGAAACCTCACACTTCCCTCCTTTTGTCCCATGACTGAGAAAAACTGGGACCCACTGAAACATGGTGAGCCAGGGCATTCACCAAGAGTGAGGAAATTAAGTGTGTGCTTTTTTCTGATGAAAAAGTCTTCTAGGTGGGGTGAATAAAGAGCCTGAGTGTCAAAAAAATATGCTCACTCCTGCGTGGAAGATCACCATGAGGGGCCCAAGTTCAAGGAAGAGGACGAATAGAAGGAGAGTCTGGGTGGACTCTCCTCACATGGACCACAAAACTGGCCCAGGAGACTTCAGATGTGATGCAGATATTTGTCGGTCTCTTTGGGGTAGAAGGAGAACAGCTGATAAGCCTATTGTCCCACTGACAGTTTTATTTCTCAGAAGACAGAGGATGCAATGAGAGGAACTGTTGATGCTCTACCTCTGACCAGCAAGAAAGAATTGTCCAGAGAAGGAGAAGAGATGGGTCCGGGGAAAGTGGCCATGTCATTTTAGACTCTGTAATAGCCAAGGAAGGGTAGATGTTGGGCTCGCCAGACTTGTGTCCAAAACCTGAGGAAAACAGATTTCAGAGATTCCCTAGAAAAATCCCTAGGCCCAGGTGCTGTGAAGGAAGACATTTCCACTGAGAGGATGTGAGGCTCACCGAAAATCAATGCAAACTGCATGGTTGCAACTTCTCATTTTTAAGAGCTCCACTTTCTTTTTTTTCCCTCCTACGCTCTGTCCCCTTCTCCCAGAAAATTTATTCTGATGAGGAAAGAAAGAGGGAAGTCACTCAGGAAACTGTATGGGCTTTAAAAGGGTAGAGACCAAGAAAATTAGGCAAGAAAAAGAAATAGAAGTCATGTAGGTTGGAAAGAAAGAAGCAAAACCATCTCTATTCACAGAGGAGGTGATCTTGTATATAGAAAATCCTAAACTCTTAAAACTAATAAATGAGTTGAGCAAGGTGTCAGGATAAAAGATCAATATACAAAATCCATTGTATTTCTATGCACTGGTAATCTGAAATAATCTGAAAATGAAATTAAAAAAACAATTCCATTTATAATAGCATCTAAAAGAATGAAATACTTAGGAATAAATTTAACAAAAGTAGTGTAAAACTTGTGCACTGAAAACTACAAAACTTTGTTGAAAGAAATTAAAGAAAACCTAAAAAAAAAAAAAGAAAGCCATCCCATGTTCATGGATTGTAAGACTTAATATCTTTAGAATGGTAGCACTCAAAGTGATCCACAGATTCAGTGTAATCTTTACCAAAATCCCAACTGCCTTCTTCACAGAAATTGACAGGCTGATCCTAAAATTCACATGGAAATGTGAGGGATCCAGAATAGCCAAACAATCTTGAAAAAGAACGGAGTTGGAGTTCTCATACTTCCAAATTTCAAAACTTACTACAAAGCTACAGTAATCAGAACAATGTGGTACTGGCATAAGAATCAACATATAGATCAATGGAATAGAATTGAGAGCCAAGAAATAAACCCATACATCTATAGTCAATTTGTTCTTACAAGCATTCCAAGACAATCCAATGGGGGAAAGAATATTCTTTTCAACAAATGATGGCGGGACAGTTGGATATCCACATTACAGAAGGAATAGAGAGTGACTGCTAATGGGTACAGGGTTTCTTTTTGGGGTGATGAAAATGTTCTGAAATTAAATAGTGATATTAGTTGCACAATTTTGTGAAACCACAGAATTGTGCCCTTTAAAAGGGTGAATTTCCTGGGATATGAATTATATCTCAATAAAAAATATAAAACAATTCAGTCTTCTAATACTAAGCATCCTATGATTTATTTAATTTTCATAATTCTGCAATTAGTGCCAGTCAAGTAATTTCTGCATGTGTGCCATAATTTAAAACAAAAGTGGATGCCAGAAAGAAAGCAAACAAAAAAGTGGAAATAAGCTAAAAGAACATAAGGACAAAGGAATTAAGAAGCAGACATGAGAAAAAAGGGGGTACAAATAGCCACCAGTCTCTACGTGGCTTTTTTCCTGTATATTCTTGTCAGTGTATAAGCATGTTCATTCTTCATAACACTCAAATTAAGTTAATAAAATCAGGTATGATGTTTTCCTATAAAATACTTGATAAAGTAGTTGTGTTTTAAAACTTTAAATATTATT